AAAAAAAAATACTTTAACTCTATAGGTATTTAAATATATTTTTTAGGCCAGGTGTGGTGGCTCACACCTGTCTTTCCAGCACTTTGGGAGGCTGAGGCAGAAGAATCTCTTAAACTCGGGGGATTAAGAGCAGCCTGGGCAACATGGCGAGACCTCATCTCTACAAAAAAGCTAAAAAATTAGCCAGATGTGGTGGCATGCACCTGTAGTTCCAGCTACTCAGGAGGCTGAGGAGGGGAAATTGTCTGATCCCAGAAAGTCTGTGGTGATCTGTGATTGTGCCACTGCACTCCAGCCTGGGTGACAGAGTGAGACCCTGACTCAAAAAAACTAATTTTGCAGTATTTTGAAGACCTAAATATGACAAACAAAATGGGAAATGAATTAAAACCCAAGCTATAACAATTTCTTATTAAACCCCAAGATATAAGAATTTCTTGTATTTTACTATTTTAATATTACTATTACTATTTATTGTACTTTATTACAAGAACTACATTAAAATTTTACTTAATACATTAAAAATTTAATACAAAAATAGATTTACATTTTACTTATACATTAAAATTTTACTGTAAGAAACACATTAACATTTTACTTAATATATTACCATTTTACTATAATAAATACATTAACATTTTACTGAATACGATTTTACTTTAGTAAATTCATTAACATTTTGCTTAATATATTAAAAGTTTACTCTAGCAAATACATTAACATTTTACTTAATACATTGCAATTTTACTTTAGTAAATTCACTGACATTTAAATACATTAAAATTTTGCTATAAGAAATATACTAATATTTAACTTAACACATTAACATTTTATTGTAAGAGATACATTAACATTCAACATAATACACTAAAATATTTACTTAATGTTATTCCTTAAATTTAAGACTACTATAAGAACTAGCTGACTGACTTTTCCACTGAGATGTACGTGAATTCCAATTCCTGAGACTTGTATTTGTTTGTAATAGTTTTACCTGAAGATATACTATCTTATATTCCTGTTTATTTCTAGCCATCATTGCCTCCAAGCAGGTAGACAGACTGAGTTACTAAAAAGATGAATTTTGGGTATACTGAAAACAGAGGCATCTCCACCCAAAACAGAGTGGCTTTGAAGCTTGGTCATTGTGCTTGGATTAAGAAACTTGCCTGCTAAATTCATTTTCTTTTCTTTTTGTTTTGTTTTTGAGTCAAGGTCTCACTCTGTCGCTCAGGCTGAAGTGCAGTGGCACACTCACGGCCACCACAGCCTCGACCTCCTGGGCTCCAGCAATTCTCCCTCCTCAGACACCCAAAGTGCTGGGATGACAGGCATGAACCACTGCATCCAGCCCTAAACTCTTTTTCTGTCTGCAGCACACCTCACATTGACCGTCTGGCAAGTGAGGGGGTGAGGCTCACTCAGCACCTGGCGGCTGCCTCCGTGTGTACCCCAAGCCGGGCCGCCTTCCTGACTGGCCGGTACCCCATCAGATCAGGTGGGTTAAAAAAAAAAAGGTCCCAACAGTTTCTGGACATACTTACACAGAAAAATTTGCCCATTGTTAATTTAAAATGTAAGTGGAACTGAGTGTCCCATATTTAATCTGGCAACCCTAATTCTAAGGAAATATTGGCATTGAACAAGCAGAAAGGCCAAGCGTGGTGACTCGTGTCTGTCATCCCAGCACTTTGGGAAACCAGAGTGGGAGGATCACTTGAAACCAGGAGTGTGAAAAGAACCTCAGCAACATAGCAAGATCCCACCTCTACAAAAAGTTTTAAAAATTAGCCAGTGCAGTGGTGTGCACCTATAATCCCAGCACTTTGGGAGGCCGAGGTGGGAGGATCATTTGAGCCCAGGAGTTCAGGACCAACGTGAACAACATAGTGAGATCCCATTTCTACAAAAAAAAAATACAAAAATTAGCCAGGCGTGGTGGCACATGCCTGTAGTCCCAGCTACTTGGGAGACTGAGATGGGAGGATTGCTTGAGCCCAGGTGTTGGAGGCTGCGGTGAGTCATCATTGTGCCACTGCTGCACTCCAGCCTGACAGAGTAAGACCCTGGTTTCCCTCCAAATGGAAGAAAAAAGTCAGAAAGGCAAGAAAAAACTTGGGGAAAAATGGCTTTTCAGAAGAGCATCCTGGGATGAGTGCTGGGATAGCCCATACTGTCCTTAAAAGGAACTTAATTCTTTGACCTTTGTGCCTTTAGGGATGGCATCTGCCTATAACCTGAACCGTGCCCTCCCCTGGCTTGGTGGGTCAGGTGGTCTCCCTCCCAATGAGACGACGTTTGCCAAACTACTTCAGCATCGTGGCTACCGCACAGGACTCATAGGTATGGCCTCGTGGAAACATGACCTTATCTAATTCCTTCCACTGTGACTGGGATCATGGGCTGTACTTGGTGGCAAACATGCCAGGTGACTTCTCTTTGAGATGAGACGCTTGAAGAAGGAACTTGTCACATGATACATACAGCTTTCAACATCAAGAATGTGATGGTGGTCGGGCGTGGTGGCTCACACCTGTCATCCCAGCACTCTGGGAGGCCAAGGCAGGGAGGATCACTTGAGCCCTAGAATTTGAGTAGTTGGGTCTACAGACATGTACCAAGATGTCTGGCTAATTGTTTCAAACACATTTTTGTAGAAATGGAGTCCTGCTATGTTGCCCAAGTGCCATGTTGCCCAGTCTGATCTCAAACTCCTGGCCTCAAGCAATCCTCCCACAACAGCCTCTGAAGTAGCTGGGACTACAGGCGTGAGCCACCACACTTGACTATTTTTTTTTAATTTTTCTATAGAGACAAGGTCTTGCTATGTTGCCCAGGCTGGTCTCAAACTCCTGGCCTCAAATGATCCTCCTGCCTCAGCTTCCCAAGTGCTGGGACTATAGGCATCAACCACTGCACCCAACTGGTTTTCTTTTCTTTTCTTTTCTTTTCTTTGAGTCAGTCTCACTCTGTTGCCCAGGCTGGAGTGCAGTGGCATACTCACGGCCACCCCAACATCGACCAGCTGGGCTCCGGCGATTCTTCCACCCCAGTCTTCCAAGTAGCTGGAACTACAGGCACGCACTACTGTGTCCGGCTAATTTTTTGGTTTATTGTAGAGATGAGGTCTCGCCCAGTTGCCTGGGCTGTTCTTGAACCTGTGGGCTCAGGTGATCCCCTCACCTCAGTCTCCCAGAGTGCTGGGATGATAGGTTTGGCCCATCATTTTCATTTTTGTAAAAATGAGATCTCACTTATACTGTCCAGGCTGCTCTCAAACTCCTAGCCTCAAGCAATCCTCCCACCTCAGCCTCCCAAAGTGCTGGGATTACAGGCGTGAGCCACCACTTCTGACGTGTATTTAACTTTCACAGAGGAAAGTCCGCATTCTGGACAACAGCCTGATCCTGAATGCTGCCACTCTGTGACCTTATTTTTCCTCCAGGGAAATGGCACCTGGGTCTGAGCTGCGCCTCTCGGGATGACCACTGCTTCCACCCACTCAACCACGGCTTCGATGACTTCTACGGGATGCCTTTCGGCCTCCTCAGTGACTGTCAGCCATCCAGGACCTCAGAGCTGCATCGCTGGATCCAGATCAAGCTGTGGGTCTCCACAGTGGTCCTGGGCCTTGTCCCCCTCCTGCTCCTTGTCCTCAAGTTCACCCACCGAATCCCCGTGCCCTGGAAGGTCATCCTCCCTCTCTCCCTCCTCGTCCTCCTGTTTTTCACATCCTGGTACTCAAGTTATGGATTCACTCGGCGCTGGAACTGTGTCCTTATGAGAAATCATGAAATCATCCAGCAGCCCATGAGAGAGGAGAGGACGGCCTCCCTCTTGTTAAAGGAAGCCCTCGCCTTCATCGAAAGGTATTTTGTCATTTCCTGCCTGGTTTCCTGCATGGGAAAATTATTTTTATTTCATAGTAGGTGACTATATCTTAATTTTAGTTGGCTGGGTGTGGCAGCTCATGCTTGGAATCTCAGTGTTTTGGGAGACTGAGGTGGGAGGATCACTTGAGACCAGGAATTCAAGAGCAGTCTGGGCAACATAGCAAGAACCTGTCTCTATCAAAAAAAAAATAATCAAAAAAATTAGCAGAGTGTGGTGGTATACTTTGGAGGCTGAGGTGGGAGGATCATCAGAGCCCAGGAGTTGGCGACTACAGTGAACTATGATTGTGCCACTGTAATCTAGCTTGAGCCACATAACGTGACCCTGTCTCAAAAAAAAAAAAAAAATTAGCCAGCCATGGTGGCGTGTGCCTGTAGTCCCAGCTACTCAGGAGCCTGAGTCAGGAGGATCACTTGAGTCCAGGAGCTTGAGACTACAATGAGCTATGATCATGCCACTGCACTCCAGCCTGGGTGACAGAGTGAGACCCTATCAAAAATTTTAAAATTATGCAGTATTTATGATATATTTGAATCTCTCCTTAGTCAGAATAAAATAGTTCAAATTCCTGCAAATTTTGAATGCTGACAATGCAAGGAAACATATTTTGCTCACTTTCTTTTTAAAAAAAAAACTGGAATTACCGTATTTGAATCTATATGACTTCAATGCAGTTTAGTATTTAAACTGAGTTCTTAGAGTGGATTTTTATTTAACTTTGCCTCTGGCACAGGTGGAAGAAGACTTCTCTGTTGGTGAACTATTGGGAAATAGCTCTGTATCTATAGACATCTAGTTTCAAGTTCTTTTGTTCTTTGTTGTTTTGTTGTTATTGTTGGGGTCTCACTCTGTTGCCCAGGCTGCAGGCCTTAGTGTCTCCCAAGAAAACATTTGGGAAAGAAAAGAAGATACCAAGATGATAAGAGAGTGAAAACTATATTGAACTTTTAAAAATTCATTTTTTGTTTTTGTCATATTAGAGATAGAGTCTTGCTAGGTTGCCCAGGCTGGCTTTAAACTCCTGAGCTCAAATAATCCTCCCACCTCGGCCTCCTGAGTAGTTGGGACTACAGACGTGCACCACCACACCCAGCTAATTTTATTTTTTGTACAGATGGAGTCTTGCTATGTTGGCCAGGCTGATCTCAAACTCCTGGGCTAAGACAATCCTCCTGTCTCAGCCTCCCAAGTAGCAGGGATTACAGGCATGCACCACCATGCCTGGCTAATGTTTCTTTTCTTTGCTTTTCTTTTCTTTTTGGTAGAGATAGAGTCTTGCTATGTGGGCCAGGCTGATATTGAACTCCTGGACTCAGGCAATCCTCCTGCCATGGCCTCCCAAAGTCCTGGGATTTCAGGTGTAAGCCACTGTGCCCGGCCTCCCTCCCTGTTGTTTAATTCAGGTTGTAAAATGTATAGAGGCCAAGGTTTAGAATGGCTATGTATGACACTAAAATGCAGGACACTAACTCATTCAGGATGTAAGTGAGGGGAATTAATCTCTCTCTGGGGGTTGGCAGGCTGATATACAGTGAGGTTATCAACTCCTCAGCTCTTTCTCTCTTGCTCTCTGCTATCCCTCATGATCAGTCTCATGGCCAAAAGTAGATGCCAAAGCTCCAGTCATCATACTTCTGTTCCAGGCAGCTTGAAGAAGTTGGAGGAGGGAATGAAGAACGTTTTCAGCAAATGGCATCATATGTTTTTAGTTGTGTGTCCTACTCTCCTTTGGTTGGTGATTATTCCTATAAACACTCCTAGATTTTTAAAAAGTTTGGAAAGTGTATTATGTGTTCGGTTCAATACTGGTGCTTGTGTTACTGAAAAACACAAGGAAAATAAAGAATAAAGAGCATTAAATACTGGATGCAGTACATATGTCTTGGTGATTAGATACAATTCTTCCAGGGCTGGACATGGTGTCTCATGCCTGGAATCCCAGCATTCTGGGAGGCCAAGGTGGGAGGATTGCTTGAGGCCAGGAGTTTGAGACCAGCCTGAGGCACAAAGTGAGACCTCATTTCTATTGAAGGAAGGAAGGAAGGAAAGAGGAAAGGAAGGAAAATAGAGGAAAAAAATTAGTGCACCTGTCATCCCAGTTACTTGGGAGGCTGAGGCAAAAGGATTGCCTGAGTCCAGGACGTAGAGGCTGTTGTGAACTGTAATCATGCCACTACACTTCAGCTTGGGTGACAGAGTGAGATTCCAACTCAGAAAAGAAAAAGGAAAAAATTGTCACACTTGTAGTCCCAGCTACTCGGGAGGCCAAAGCAGGAGGATCACTTGAGCCCAGGAAGTCAAGGCTGTGGAGACAGAGTGAGATACTGACTCAGAAATAAACAAATAAGGAGATGCCTTTATTTCAGTGGGTAATTCTGCTGACTTTATACCTTTTAGGCATAAGCGGAGACCCTTTCTCCTTCTTTTTTCCTTCCTGCATGTGCACACGCCTCTCATCACGAGAGAGAAGTTTGTTGGGCACAGTAAATACGGATTATATGGTGATAATGTGGAAGAAATGGATTGGATGGTGGGTGAGTATTCAGTGATGCAGCTGTAAGTACCTGATGCATAAGCTACAGAAACACATATTTATATTAATTGTCTCAAATATGCTGGGCGCGGTGGCTCATGCCTGTCATCCCAGCACTGTGGGAGGTGGGAGGATTGCTTGAGCCCAGGCGTTTGGGACCAGCCTAGGCAACATAGTGAGCTCTTATCTCTACAAAAAAAAAACAAAAGAAAATTAGCCAGCAGTGGTAACATGTGCCTATAGTCCCAGCTACTTTAAACCCGAGGTGGAATCTGCGGTGAGCCGTGATCACCGCAGACAGAGTGAGATCCCAACTCAAATAAATAAATAAATAAATCACAAATCATTTTTATTTGTAGTAGTATAGTCAGATCTAATATGAACTGACAATTTGCATAAAATTTTTCCCTTCCCAGAAAGCCTTTACAATCTTTTCTCTTATAAACCTTGGGCTTTAAAAAATAAATAAATCTTAGGATTTACTTACAACGTTTCTAAAAAAAACGGTCAATGTAGTTTGTAAAACAAATTATCTTTAAGCAACTGCTGAACACAAAGATCAGTGATTTTGCATATAAACAGATTTTTCTGTGCAATTAGTTCAATTTATTTATCATTAAAAAAATTTTAGATTCATGAGCATACACATGCATATTTGTTATATGTACATGTTGTGGAATGGTAGGGATTGGGTCTCAGGTGGCCCATTCCCCAGATAGGGAACATTGTGCCCCATCAGTAACTTCACGACCTTAACCCTCTTCCCCCTTCCCCATTATGGGTGTCCCCAGTGTCTATTATTTCCATCTTTGTGCTTGTTTAGCTCCCGCATGAGTGAGAACATGTGATGTTTGGTTTTCTGTTCCTGAGTCCTTTCACTTCGGACAATGATCTCCAGCTACATGCATGTTGCCACAAAGGACATGAGCTCATTCTTTTTTGTGGAGTAGCTATACTACATTTTAAAAAATCTTTGAATGGGACAAGATTGTACCATAGAGATGATCCACTGGACATCAGGAATTCATTGTGACTTTGAGCCCGGCATGGTGTTATCTATGAACTGGCAAATGCCCCACGGGAATCAGAAATAAAATCGATATTGTTAGAAATGTTGCAAGATCAGCTCTCTACTTATTTTTTTCAAGAATCCTTTTGTCTTCTTAAGGGATTGTCTACACACTAAATAAGATAATGATAAATTATGCCTTTTAGTATATAATGTAATATTATGCATTACTATGTATTTGTGGGAAATATGCACTATATATTTCTATATTATACAACATATAATAAATATATAATTCATAAGCATAAGTATATAAATTATATATTATTGCATTATATATACAATGCATATTCTATAATGCCTTCTATTTAATGCCTTATAATATATGACATATATTATATTATTGTATGATATATTGCATGTGATATACTCTAAACACTGCATCACATACAGTATACATAGAATAGTATACATTATAGCACTGTGCAATAGTTATTAATTATACAACATTGTCTATGCATATACTATGTATTCTATGGTTAATAATAACATACAGTGCTTTCTATTTCTATTTAATGCCTTATAATGTATGATATATCATATACTATATTATTGTGTGATATACTCCATATGATATACTCTATACACTATGTTGCAGTTCATATACAATAGTATACATTGTAGCATCATTCAATAGTTATTAATTATACAGCATTATTCGACACATGACAAAACAACACTTGAGTCATAATGTCCTCTGCCATAAACGCATAATAGCAGATATGTGATGAGGTCACAATGACTCTCCCTGAGTGGTAAAAGTCTCTGTGTTTCTGGCTCCCCACAGGTAAAATCCTCGAGGCCTTGGACCGGGAGCATCTGGCCAACCAGACCCTGGTGTACTTCACCTCCGACAATGGGGGCCGGCTGGAGTCCCAAGACAGGGCGGCCCAGCTGGGAGGCTGGAATGGACCCTATAGAGGTGATTTGATGCCTGTCGGTGCAAAACCAGCAGAGTCCACTGGCTTTGGGTTTGCTTGAATCCGTTGGCCTTGCTATTGGGATGTTTTTGTGAGTTAAGCTCTTAATAAGGATGAGAAAATGCTGCAGATTCTGGGGCCGTTTCCAAGAGCATCAGATGAAAATGTCTGAAACAATGGCAGCATCATGAAGGAGAGTGAATACCTGGGATCTCAGTGACCATCATTATGGGTCTCTCAGCCTGGACACAGTTAGCATTTGCAAGTGTCCTTGGAGAGCAGTATCCATACTCGCAAACCATTGGATGTATGGATGGACAGACAGACAGATGGACAGACGGACAGATGGATAGGTAGATGATAAATGGATGGATAGATAGATGATATAGATAGATAGATAGATAGATAGATAGATAGATAGATGAAGATAGAGAAAGATGGATGGATGGATGAATGGATGAATGAACAGATGGATAGATGATATATAAATAGATCTATAGAGAGATGATAGGTAGATAGACAGACAGATAGGTAATAGAGATAGATGGTAGATAGATAAGTAGATGGGTGGATAGATGATAGATTGGTAGATAGATGGGTGATGGGTGATTGATGGAAATATAGATGACTAATAGAAAGATGATAGGTAGATAGATGATAGATAGGATGGATAGATGATAGATAGATAATAGATGATAGGTAAACACATAAGCGATATATGATACATAGATGATAGGCAGATAGATAGAGATGGTAGATGGACATAGATGGGTGGGCGAATGATAGGTAGATAGATGATAGACAGATGCATAGATAATAGAAAATAGAGATTTATAGATGAAAGGTAGAAAGATAATAGGTAGATAGATGATAGATAGATACTCAATAGATGGTATGCAGGTAGGTAGATGTATAAACATGATAGATAAATGATAGGTTGATAAATAAATAGGTAGATAGATGCATAGATAGATACATACATAGATGGATAGATAATAGATATTGAGATAGATAGATGGTAGATAGATGATAGACTGATATGATATGTGATAGATACATATTGAGATAGATAGGTGATAAATAGATTGATAGACACCAGACAGATCTCTTGGGCTACAAGAGTGTTTCTCAGCCTCAGCACCACTACATCAGGGGCTTATGACTCTGGAGTGGGTGTCCCACATACTCTGGGGTGTTGAGCTGCGTCCCTGGGCCCCACCCACCAAATGCCAGGAGCACCCGCTCCAAGGTAGTGACATCCAGAAATGACTCCTGTCCTTGGTCAGTATCCCCTGGGGGCAAAGTCATTTTCGGGTGAGAACCACACCTCTAGAATAATCCTCGCTGGGATACTCAGATTCAGGTTTTAAATTAAATAAAATCCATCACCTTATCACTGTGTATCATGGAGGGTTACACTACTCAGAAAGAGAGCTCTCCGTGTAGGGAGAGCTCTCCGTGTAGGTGCCTGCCTCCTCAGGGTAAGTGAATTCTTCCAAGTCATTTTCACTTACTGCATGCTGGGAGTGAATACAAGAACTCCACTGAGCCTGCTTCTAAGCCCTGGTGAAGACAGCAGAAAGAATATTTTTTAAAAGCATTTGGTGCTTTGCTGTTCCCCTCCTGACCCCTAACCAAGTCAAAAAATCTAGAAGGATTTGAAAGTTGTTGTCATGATAAAAATCAGAATGCTTGGACTTCCTTATATTTAAACAAGTGTGTGTGTATTTTATATATATAAATATATTTGTATGTGTGTAAGTAAATTCGCTATGTATGTATATTCACTATATCCTTTATATATATTTAACTCTATATATTCACTATATATATTTACAATATGAAATCCAATATGCACATATATATAATATTTTTGCTATTTAGGAGTGTTTTTTTAATTTTTATTTTAAAGATGTGGGATGCAATTCAGGGTTAGGTATACAAATGGTCATTGTACAGAAAAGTTTGGGCCTCACTTTGGTCTCCACTTCACCTGGTTTGAGATCAGGTACCCTTATTAATGAAGTGTGTCAGTATGTACATATATTTATATAGATAATATTTATCTATATATTTAAAATGTCATCTATATGAATACTATATATTTATATACTATATAATACTATATATCATAAAATAAATCTATATAAAATAAATTATATTATACATAAATGCATATATAATATTATAAATATATTATATACAAACATAATATATAAAATAAAATCATATAAAAATAAATTTACATATAATTTATAAACATATATTATAATAATATTATATAATATATTATAAAATGAATTATATAATATGATATAACATATATCATATATAGTCATATAATATATTAAACAAATATATAAATATTTATATATGAAATCTGTATATTCATATATATCATAGATAAATATTTATATATATAAATATATAAATATTATATAAGTATAAATACTCATATAATATTCATAAATATGCATATAAAATATGAAATATAACTATGTATCTTTATATATAAAACAAAGATATATTTTATATATAAATATTTATATATGTTTATATTTGTGTATATATTTACACAAATGCATAGGATTATATCTATGAATCTATCGAATTTAACATACTGGATTATATTTTGTGAGTTGCTAGATGGTAAGCTCCTAAAAGCATTCCCCTTCTCTGACTGGCTAGGTCAACCTGGTTGAGACATAACTTTGTTAATAAGCAAACACTAAATTGGTGCCAGAACTAGAAGACAGCATAAGTAAAAAGCTGACTCACTGCCCATGTGCCCCCCAATAAGATGTGATTACTATAATCAGGGTGATTATAACAGATGCAACTATTATGCACCATTATAGTAATTGTTATAATTACTTGCTTGGGTGAGTGTGTGTGTGTAAACCCACATTCTAAAAAGCTCAAGCCACCCTACAAAGTCACTGGAAAAATTGTGGTGACTAGGTCTCACCTCTGGGGACAGGCTGCCACCTCTATAATGTGCCTCTTATGAGCAGATGAATACATTGAGTTGATAAATTTAGACATCCTGGGTAACACTATCGATTTGGTTCTACTTATGTCTCACCAAGACGCAGTTCATCAAATAAGCTGAAGAAGATGCCTGAGTGTCTTTATGGTTGTTGGTTGATAGTCAACATAAAAAAAAGAAATACTTTTGCTTCAGGGAGTTTGTCACATTTTTGTTATAATAAAATGTGAGAACCTGGGTTGGCTTCAGATCCAAATTAGACCATTAGTGGTCCTACAGGGAATTTTGTCCCAATTTTAAATAGAGAAACCAGATCTTGTGTTTTCTTTGTGATTTGTGCTGCCTGTCAGACCAATAAAAAACAAAAGGCATTCAGGGAACATTTCATATGGGAAGAGATTTTTCCCCTAAAGACGCTCTTTTTTTTTTTAAGGAATCTATATGGTTTTAACTGTGACATTTGACACAGGGCCATTTTTTCTTTTCTTCCTTTTTTTCTTTTCTTTTCTTTTTTATTTTTTTTTGGGGGGGGAATCTCACTCTGTCACCCAGGCTGGAGTGCAGTGGCACAATCACAACTCACTGCAGCCTCAACCTCCTGGCTAAGGTGATCCTCCTGCCTCAGCCCCCTAGGTAACTGGTATTACAGGCACATGCCACCACACCTGACTCATTTTTGTACTCTTTTTTTTTTTTTGTAGAGACAAGTTCTCACTATGTTACCCAAGCTGGTCTTGAACTCCTGATCTCAAGCTATCCTCCTGCCTCAGCCTCCCAAAGTGCTGAGATTACAGGCATGAGCCACTGCGTCTGGCTCCATTTTTTAATTCTGCAACGAACACCTTGATCTCACAACACAGGCTAGGGCATGTGTTTTGGGTTCTGAAATATCCAAAAGACCTTTGTCTAAAAGTGATCTCAGCAATTTTTCTACATCTGTATCCCTACTCGCCTGTCTGTTTTCCTAGATAAGAAATCACCAGGCAAATTAGGTGGGCGTGGTGATGCATGCCTGTAGTCCCAGCTACTTGGGAAGTTGAGGTAGGGCGATCACTTGGCTGCAGTGAACCATGATCATGCCACTGCACTCCAGCCTGGCTGACAGAGTGAAACCCAGTCTCAAAAAAAAAAAAAAATACCAGGTAAAGTCAAAATTCCTTAGCGTGTCCTTTCCAGGGTCACTATAACCCAGATAAAACTTATTTTTCTAGTCCTACTTTGGACCCCAAACAAGGGGTTCCTCTTTTCAAGCCCGATCTAATTCCACTAAGGACTAAATGTCCTCTTTCTCTCCCATAATATTAAAAGTTTGCAGCATTAATTAGTACATATTATACACCGTCTTAAGAGAGCACTTGTTTTTATTTATTATGATTGAATGTTACACTTGCACAGTGAAAGCTGGCAAAGAATGTTTTCAACTTCTAGAAGGCAAGAATGATACCTCATGGTTATTTTGTATCTCTCCGTGAATATAACACGTGTTACAAGTAGATTTAATGCTCGTTTCAGTAGACAGTGATATGGGCGGGTTTAACTTATCCTTGGTTGTCATCTTTGGTTTCAGGAGGCAGAGGGATGGGAGGATGGGAAGGAGGTATCCGTGTCCCAGGAATATTCCGGTGGCCAACTGTCCTGGAGGCTGGAAAAGTGATCGATGACCCTACGAGCCTCATGGACATTTTTCCAACACTGTCTTATATCGGTGGAGGGATATTGCCCCAGGACAGGTATGGAAGCAGTGCTTTTTCCTAGTCTAGAAAGATATATGTGGATGTATGTGGATATACTAGATAATTGTGTGTGTGTGTGTGTGTGTGTGTGTGTGTGTGTGTGTGTGTGCAGTATTTTACTTAATTATCAGTATTCTGCTCTTAAGGGCGGGGCACAGTGGCTCACGCCTATAATCCCAGCACTTTGGGAGGCTGAGGTGAGAAGATTGCTTCAGCCCAGCCTGGGCAACACAGCAAGACTCTGTCTTTAAAAAAAAATTATCCAGGTGTGGTGGTGCATGCCTGTAATCTCAGCTACTCAGGAGGCTGAGTTGGGAGGATCACTTGAGCCCGGGAGATGGAGGTTGCAGTGAGTTATGATCGCACCCATGGCACTCCATTCTGAGTGACAGAGTGAGATTCTGTCGCTAAAACAACAAAACCCAAACAAACCAAAATATTCTGCCCATAAGACCAGATGACTTTCTCTTTCTTGCAGTTTGGTGGAATATTTTGCTTTCTCCTCTTAGAATATATCTTAACACCCTCCTTTATATTATTCTGGTGCATGCTTAAATCTGGGTGTTTTTATGGGTGGGATCACTTATTGTCGTATTCTTCACAGTGTCTGGACAGAGGTGTCCAGCCTCCTCTCTTCTCCTCTTCCTCGTCTTCCTCCTCTTCCTCTTCTTCCTCTTCTTCCACCTCCTCCTCCTGCTATAAAATGTGAAAAGTAAGTCATGCCTTCTCCCAACCTCCTGCATGTCCCCTTGTTTCCCAAGAGTGATTGATGGCCAGAACCTGATGCCACTGCTGGAAGGGAAGGTGACCCACTCTGACCGCGAGTTCCTCTTCCACTACTGCGGGGTCCATCTGCACGCTGTCCGGTGGCACCAGAAGGACTGTGAGTATGAAGACGCACACGTGTGGACACACGGTCAGGGCCCAGTGTCTGTCTCCTCCTTCTCTTGGAGGAAGCTGCCCCACACACGTGTGTCATCCAGTAGGATGCTTCCTCCTCCCCAGGAAAGTCACTTGAGCAGAGGGCACACTGCAATGGGATTCTGAAGAAACGTGTGTGTGTGTGTGTGTGTGTGTGTGTGTGTGTGTGTGTGTGCATATGCACACCATGGCCACCCAGGAGAGAGGCAGCCGAATGTTGGCACAGGCAGGTCAAAGTCATCAAAACATGATGGTAACTTTTAGACTAATAAATGCTACATCTAATGCTTTTAGAGTAATAAATACTACACCTAATAATTTTAGAATAATAAATTCTCTGTGTATTGCTTTTAGTAATTAATACTATATTGTTTTCATAGGAATAAATGTCATGCTTAATACTTTTATAGTAATACATTTTATGTTTATTTCTTTTATAGCCATATGTACTATGTTGATTGCTTTTATAGCAATACACACCACGCTGATAATTTTTATAGCAATATGTACCACTTTGATCACCTTTCAAGTAATCATACTCTTATTGCCAGAAGGGTGTACGTCTCGCCTCGCAGGCATGGGGAAGCGCCAGGGTTTACTCAGGACAGAAGAAGGTGGCAGCAGGGCCCCAGCTACAGTCTGCATTGGGGTTTCTGAGGGAAAGGTGTGGCAGGGCAGGGTGAACAACTCAAGATCAACTGGTTTGAAAAATTATGGCAGGTATGGGGCCCAGGGACTGTGCCTGGTTCCTGGGGCGGGGTCAATTTAGGTCAAAGGAAGACGTGGCTTAGGATGTGAGTGTCAGATGGGGGAGGTGGTTGGCTGCATAGGGCAGCAAACTCTTGAGCGAGTTTGGACCGTTTGGGGAATTAGCTAATCCGGGAGAGGCAGTCTCTCCCCAGATCTAAAAAGTCCCATCCAGCCATCCAGATGTCAAAACAATAGGATACAGAAAATTGAGAAAGCATGATTAAGGTGTGTGTGTGTGTGTGTGTGTGTGTGTGTGTGTGTGTGTGTGTGTGTGTGTGTGTGTGTAAGTTTGTATATAGGCATGCATGAGAGAGAGCAAAGAGGAAGAGGGGAGAGAGAAACAGAGAGAGGAAGAGAGACAGAGAGAGAAATAGAGAAAGAGACAGAGGGTGACAGAGAAAGAGAGAGAAAAAGAGACAGAGGAGAGGGAAAGAGAGAAAAAGAAATAGAAAGAAGGAGAGACAGAGAAAGAAAGAGTTGAGGAAATGCTGCTGTTACTTTGTAATTTTGTGCAAAGAAAATATCATCAATCATTAGGAAAAGCGTTTGATAAATATATTTTTAATGAAAAGAGTTTTAAGACCACCACAGGCAGGGCTCAGTGGCTCAGCCTATAATCCCAGAACTTTGGGAGGCCGAGGTGAGTGGATTGCCTGAGTCCACGGATTCGAGACCAGCCTGGGCAACTTGGTGAGACCTCATTTCTACAATAAATAAAAAATTAGCCATGTGTAGTAGCGTGCGCCTATAGTTCCAAGTACCTGGAAGGCTGAGGCAGAAGGATCGCTGGAGCCCAGCAGATTGAGGCTACAGCGACTGGGAGCGTGCCACTGCACTCCGGGTCTGAGCAAGAGAGTGAGACTCCAACTCAAAAAAAAAAAAAAAAAAGACCACCACAAAGGTGGTATCACAATAAAGTTCTGGGGGTTGGGGGGAGAATTGTTGTTGTTTTGCTTGTTTTTGCTTTTGTTTGTTTATTGTTTCTTTGTTTTTATTTTTGTTTGCTTTTGTGTTTGTTTTATTCTTTGCTTTTGTTTGTTTCTTTGTTTTTGGGGGTTTGTTTTTCTGTTTTATTTCTTTCTCTCTCTCTTTTTTTTTTGAGGTGCAACTGTGTGGAAGGCTCATTACGTGACTCCCAAATTCCACCCAGAGGGAGCAGGCGCCTGTTATGGAAATAGTATGTGTCCATGCTCTGGGGATGTGACCCACCATGACCCGCCCCTCCTATTTGACGTCTCAAGGGACCCCTCAGAGGCCATACCACTGAACCCTGACAACGAGGCATTATTCGACTCTGTGGTCAAAAACATTGAGGCAGCCATTAAAGAGCATCGCGGGACACTGACGCCTGTCCCACAGCAACTCTCCGCGTTCAACACTATTTGGAAGCCGTGGCTGCAGCCGTGTTGTGGGACCTTCCCCTTTTGTGGGTGTGACAAGGAAGACGACATCCTTCCTGCTGCTCCCTGAGTGACTGGGTCTGCTTGTTATCAACCACACACGAACTTACTGCTGTGAGGGTCACAGGAGCAACACTTACCTGATGCACTCATCCATTTGGGATTTTTAAAAAACTGATAGACTCCATTGTTTCATCCTCAGAACAGCTATTTTCTTTTTTTTTTAATTAAAAAAAATTAATGCAGAGACAGGGTCTTGCCCTGTTGCCCAGGCTGGTCTCAGACTCCTGGGCTCAAGTGATCTGCCTACCTTGGCCTCCCAAAGTGCTGAGATGACAGGTGTGAGCCACCACACTCTGCTTACAGTTTTTTCTTCAAGGCACAAAGTGAAATAGAAATGAGTCTATATGACAGTGATCATGAAGGAACACATTTGTTGCATACATTTTTTCTAATATATAATTGTGTCTGGCTGGGTGAGGTAGGATCACGCTTGTTAGCCCAGCACTTTGGGAGGCCAAGATGGGAGGATTGCTTGAGCCTGGAGTTCGAGATCAACCTGGGCAACATAGTGAAACCCCGTCTCTACAAAAAATTTAAAAAATAGCCAAGCATAGTGACACGTGCCTGTAGTCCCAGCTACTCAGGAGGCTGAGCCCAAGAGGTTGAGGCTGCAATGAGCCGTGATTGTACCACTACACTGCAGCCTGGATGACAGAGTGAAACCCTAATTCAATGATGATGATGATAATGATGATGATGATAATTGTAATAATTGTGTAATTGCCCAAGGAAAAGGACAGATTAAGGTGACTTTCAGCAGATATTTGTTGATCTCTGGTTCCCAGAAGATGATTTGTGGTAGCAGCAGGTCCAATGCGTTAAGTTATACAGTTCTACAGATACTAGACTCAGACATGCTATTTTTGTAATAGATCACAGTAAGTAAACCCAGGCTCACATCTGTAGTCCCAGCTACAGGATACAAAAGACAAAGAAAAGATCTTTAAATCAGTCAGAGTGAAAGATCACACTGCCTACAATATAATAAGCATAAAATTAAAAGCAGACTTACCCACAATCACAATGAAAGTCACACAACAATTGAATCATCTTTTCAAACTCCTGTGAGAAAACTCGTGTTACATACCCAAGTTATTCAGTCATGAGGGTGAAATATTTAAAAACATGGAAAAATAACACGGTGTTAACAACTGCACATTATTAGAGTAACAATTAACTGAAGGACTTTCTCAAAAGAGAAGAAAAATAACTCCAGAAAGGGAAGATGAAATCTTGAATGAAACAATGAACAAAAACAAAAAAAAATTTGTTAAACTATGAATAAGTGCAAATGAACAATGACTTCAGAAAGCTTTTTTTTTAATACCTACTTTGGAGAGAAGTTGAACTAAAATGCTGGAAACTAGTACCACTTTAATGGGGAAGATACAGGTATTAAACCTTGTAGCATCCATGTTCAGAGTGAGGTAGGGAGACTGAATAATCTCAGACTCAGACAGTGGTTCACACTTGTAATTCCAGCGCTTTGAGAGGCCAAGGTGAGAGGATTGCTTGAGGCAAGGCATTTGAGACCAGCCCAGGCAACATAGCAAGATCTCATCTCTACCTAATAAAAAAAAGTAAATAAAAGAAACAGGATGTACATATTTAAAACCAATGGAAGACAGAAGTGTAATAAAATAAACAGGAAAATCAGAGCACACAACAATGCATGAAAAAATAATATGATATGAGGTGCTTAGAGCAGTCAAATTCAGACAGACAGAAAGGTGCCAGCGGCTTGGGGATGGGGAGTAGGGAATTTAATGAGGGCAGAGTTTCGGTTTTACAAGATAACAAGAGTTCTGTCAAAAGAATTCAAGTACAATTTATGTTGTCTAAATTTTAAGAGATGGTTTTGTTGTCCCTAAAGTTTAAGAGGAGTTTTTTTTTTTTTTAGTAAAAAAGCAGAGGTGGTGAAAATTTTGAATATTTTTAAATTTTAAAATTAAAACTTAAAACTTCTTCTTTTTTTTTTTTTTTTTTTAGAGTTGGAGTTTCACTCCATCGCCCAGACTGGAGTGCAGTGGCA